TGTGGCCTTCAGATTGGCACAACAACAGTGCGTAGAGAGCTTCATGGAATGGGTTTCCATGGCCGAGCAGCTGCATCCAAGCCTTACATCACCAAGTGCGATGCAAAGTGTGGGTTCCAGTGGTGTAAAGCACGCCGCCACTGGACTCTAGAGAAGTGGAGACGTGTTCTCTGGAGTGACAAATCATGCTTCTCTGTCTGGCAATCCAATGGACGTGCCTGGGTTTGGCGGTTGCCAGGAGAAAGGTACTTGCCTGACTGCATTGTGCCAAGTGTAAAGTTTGGTGGAGGGGGGATTATGGTGTGGGGTTGCTTCTCAGGGGTTGGGCTTGGGCTTGGGCCCCTTAGTTCCAGTGAAGGGAAATCTTAAGCGTCAGCATACCAGGACATTTTGGACAATTTCATGTTCCCAACTTTGTTGGAACAGTTTGGGGATTGCCCCTTCCTGTTCCATCATGACTGCACACCAGTGCACAAAGCAAGGTCCATTAAGACATGAATGAGTGAGTTTGGGGGTGGAGGAACTTGACTGGCCTGCACAGAGTCCTGACCTCAACCCGATAGAACACCTTTGGGATGAATTAGAGCAGAGACTGCAAGCCAGGCCTTCTCGTCCAACATCAGTACCTGACCTCACAAATGCGCTTCTGGAAGAATAGTCAAACATTCCCATAGACACACTCCTAAACCTTGTGGACAGCCTTCCCAGAAGAGTTGAAGCTGTTATAGCGGCAAAGGGTGGGCCAACACAACATTGAACCCTATGGACTAAGACTGGGATGCCATTAAAGTTTATGTGCGTGTAAAGGCAGGCGTGCCAATACGTTTGGTAATATAATGTATCTTAATGTCCAATCTGTTTTTATATAGATATAAATCCTACTTAATAGAAAACTGTGCAGAGAGAACTATAAAGTCTACCTGTTTTCATTTGCTTGCTTGTTCTGGGTCAGTGACAAAAACAAAAAAATTAAAAACAAGAGTAAGCTAAGCAACTAGCATTTTCGTAGGTTGGCTTTATATCTTTCATGACAGGTTTGAGGGAGCAGGGTTTATCTCGTACATTCAGGAGTGGTGTATCTGGTGGCACTAATCTTATAATATTAGAACAAACCTGTGCTTCCTGTTATGCTAGTGTTTGATAGAAACATTTGATATATTTTATTCAATGTTCTACAATACTCTGCACTGAATATTTTAATATGGACAGTTGGTAATGTATGATGCATGTCTCTTATAATGTAATAAAGATATGTTTACAGATTACTTTATTTTTTTCCTAGAATGTGAGATGCCATTTTATGCCCTCGGACACCTTTGCATTACTTACTGCCCTTCAAACTACTTCAAGACACTGCAGCCTGTTAGAACTGAAAAATTGTCTGTGATTCTTCGCACAGCTCGTGCCTGTGCTCCTTGTCACCATTCATGCTACACCTGCAGGGGGCCCTCTGCTAATAATTGTACTGCCTGCCCACTCTATTCTTCATATAATGAAAGAGAACATTTGTGCTCACAGTCTTCCTATCCAAGGATCAATCTACGTCCCAGAAAATCCAGTGAATCGTTAAATGTTGCGATGATAGTTATGCTTTTAGGGGGAATTGTGTTGTTGGTTTGCCTTGTTTCACTTTTATGGATCTGTAGTAGATTACTTGTGCACAAATTCTCATTGCCCAATATGCCCCACAACCCTGGCCTGGAAATGTATAATCTTCACAGTGAGGATGACGAAGCTGCTGTCCCACGGAGGATATAAAGCCCTAGCTCTAAATCTGGAGGCAGTATAAAAGCATCATCACTTCAATATAAATAAAATGTATATATTTGCTATATACCTATTTTTAATTATTATGCTGTTTTTATTTATATAATAATTAGCCATTTCTTGTAAAGCCAACTCCAGGCAAACAGCTAAAAATGCAATTAGCATATATACACTGAGTGGCCAGATTATTATGACCACCCCATCAGTAGTTAGGCCGCCTCGTGACTCCACGAGATGTTGAAAGGGGATGCGAGGAATATGACATTGCACTGTTGCCCTTCTGTTGTCTTGTACCAGTCTTGCCACTCTCCGTTCTGCCCTAACATTGACTAGTCGCTGACGGCCACAATTCGCACGTTCAGACCCAGATTTGCGGCTGACAGTCCAGTCTTTTAAACACTTTAACAATGAGCCCCTCTTGAACATTTAACGAATTCTGCTGTTTTGCTGATACTCGCTCCATGGCTCCAAACGCCAACAATCATCCCACGCTCAAAGGCTGTTAAATTTGCGTTGTTTACCCATATCTTCAGAAAAAATCACTTCTACTGTCGTGGTAAACAACCTGCTTCCCTATTCTACAATACTCTGCACTGAATATTTTAATATGGACAGTTGGTAATGTATGATGCATGTCTCTTATAATGTAATAAAGATATGTTTACAGATTACTTTATTTTTTTCCTAGAATGTGAGATGCCATTTTATGCCCTCGGACACCTTTGCATTACTTACTGCCCTTCAAACTACTTCAAGACACTGCAGCCTGTTAGAACTGAAAAATTGTCTGTGATTCTTCGCACAGCTCGTGCCTGTGCTCCTTGTCACCATTCATGCTACACCTGCAGGGGGCCCTCTGCTAATAATTGTACTGCCTGCCCACTCTATTCTTCATATAATGAAAGAGAACATTTGTGCTCACAGTCTTCCTATCCAAGGATCAATCTACGTCCCAGAAAATCCAGTGAATCGTTAAATGTTGCGATGATAGTTATGCTTTTAGGGGGAATTGTGTTGTTGGTTTGCCTTGTTTCACTTTTATGGATCTGTAGTAGATTACTTGTGCACAAATTCTCATTGCCCAATATGCCCCACAACCCTGGCCTGGAAATGTATAATCTTCACAGTGAGGATGACGAAGCTGCTGTCCCACGGAGGATATAAAGCCCTAGCTCTAAATCTGGAGGCAGTATAAAAGCATCATCACTTCAATATAAATAAAATGTATATATTTGCTATATACCTATTTTTAATTATTATGCTGTTTTTATTTATATAATAATTAGCCATTTCTTGTAAAGCCAACTCCAGGCAAACAGCTAAAAATGCAATTAGCATATATACACTGAGTGGCCAGATTATTATGACCACCCCATCAGTAGTTAGGCCGCCTCGTGACTCCACGAGATGTTGAAAGGGGATGCGAGGAATATGACATTGCACTGTTGCCCTTCTGTTGTCTTGTACCAGTCTTGCCACTCTCCGTTCTGCCCTAACATTGACTAGTCGCTGACGGCCACAATTCGCACGTTCAGACCCAGATTTGCGGCTGACAGTCCAGTCTTTTAAACACTTTAACAATGAGCCCCTCTTGAACATTTAACGAATTCTGCTGTTTTGCTGATACTCGCTCCATGGCTCCAAACGCCAACAATCATCCCACGCTCAAAGGCTGTTAAATTTGCGTTGTTTACCCATATCTTCAGAAAAAATCACTTCTACTGTCGTGGTAAACAACCTGCTTCCCTATTTATAATGGTCTGGCCCTCTAGCAACTTCAGCATGAAATTATAGCTAATTTGCCTACAAACGTCAGGTGGTCATAATAAACTGGCCACTCAGTGTATGTATAGGTTAGCCACTTTGCCTGTTAAAGGATTTGTAAGACTGTCCAACCAGTGCTGCATTTAAGGAACTCGTCAGGTCACCTCCTTGCCCCCTGATTAGGCAATGAAAGGAGTAGCAGTAGACTGAGATTATCCACAAGACCCAAGGGCTGAACTGTGTTAGTTAGCAGTAGCTTGAGAGAAGCATCTTCATGAATTTAGGGAAAGCATTTAATATATTGTTCTAGTGTATGGTTTTTCAAGCCCCTGGTCATCAAAATGTTAGGGCCCATTGCCACTTTACAGCACTGTGTTGTGTTAAAATAACTCATTCATGTTAAATGGGCTGCCAATACAGCCAAAAATTGTATATGTGTGTCTAATATATACACACATATACACAGTGTACCACAATGCACATACATATGTATTGTGCAGTTTGGATGCATTGTTCACTACTGCTTCAGGGTGTTGTGATTCAAAATAACTGCAACACAATGCAGTATGTACTTTCTCTCCTTCCCAAATAAATCTGGGCTAAGAATATATCCTAAGTAAAGGGCAGGTTCTACTAGTGAACTTAGCAGAAGTGGGGCTCGCTATATGTTTATTTTCTCCCGCTTTTAGAATGGTAATAAACCCCTCCCCCCTCCTTCATAGCTATGAAATGGCAAGGAACACCGCTTCTCTTACCAGAAATACTGGCAAAAATGCTAAGCTGCATCTGAAATATTCTTTCTTAGGAGTCATAGTATGACTGGCCTGTAGGATGAGGGCTTTTCAAAGTTCTGTTCCCACACATTGGTTCATTAATTTAGTACAGCTGTGGCCAACTTTAGAAGGGGCCAAGGGTGGGGAGGAGAGAAACTGTCACAGGAGGCTGAGTGGTGGTGGTGGGGGGGATGTGTGCGGCCTGTGTCTCCTCCTGTACAAGAGCGATGTGAGCGGCCGGTGTCTCTCCTCTTGCTCAGCCTCAGTGGCAGGTTAGAAGAGCGGTGTAGGGGGCGAAAGCAGCTGTCAGTGCTATCACAGGCGGCTGAGCTCTCCTCCCACACCAGCCCGCTTAGCCTCCTGTGACAGATCAGGAGAGTGGCGATGTGGGAGCAGAGACTGCTGTCACAGGAGACCAGGCTGCGGTGCAGGGGAGGAGTCAGCTGTCAGGAGATCGAGCTCTCCTCCCCGCACACTCTTGTGACCGAGTCAGGATGGAGAGCGGGTACAAGCAGTCAATGATGGCTGAGTGTTTGTTAATAATTGAGGACATAGTATTGAGGAACTATATCACCTCCTGTTCGTTCATGTTGTAGTTATAGTAAACAAATGTCCACAAGTTATGAATTAACAAATACACTCAGTATAGAGGCTTCCTGTTCATTTATAACAAGGGCTGCAGAAAGAGATTGAGGACCCTGTGTATAATCTTTTTCTAATTTAAAAGGGAAATATGAGGAAATATTAATATTTAAATATATAAAAATATTTAATAAAAATACATTTGAAAAAGTTAGAAAAAATGTCAGTTTTGGCATGACTTATTTAATGTTTAGAAAATCTAATTTCGGTACACCTCTAATATCCATAAGTCAAATGAAGGGCTACTTATAAAATAACATTTTTCTTTACAATTTCTAAATATCAGGTGGCACATATGTATCATCATAATACAACCATATAACAAAGTATAACTCCCTTCCAGTGAGGTTCATTATCAGGGGCCCCTCTGCTCACATAACTACCACCGTATCCCCCCTCTCATACCAGGTTGTAAGAAAGCAAGTGCTAGCACAGACATGGCCGTGCAAAGCATACTGGGAAGTGGTGCTCTATTCTGAGCAGAGATGGCAATAATACTTTTCCATTTATTGATGTCAGTGGCAGCAAAATTACACTCCGCATTGGTGTCAACATTAGCAATACTAAACACCCCTTCCTTGGTGTCAGTTACAGTGGAAGCAATAATAAACATACCTTCACTGATGTCAATGTCAGCTATAATAACCCCTCTTCACTGGTAATCAGTGGCAGTAATAACACCCTATCCCCTCCTTCCTTGGTGGTTTGTGTGAGTAATGATGACCCCTTTAATTGGTGTTCATTTAAAGTAGCAACAATAGCTTACCACTAAGGATGCCCTTGCCAGGGTGGCAGGCAAGATAGCACCGGCAAGTGCACCATCCAACGGAAAATCAGATCACTCCTTAGATGGCTCCCCACTTTTTAAGCCGCAAAACCTCGATAGCCATCCTGCTTTATTAGAATGTTTCCAGACCATATCATATAAGGCTTTAGACGCACCATCTAAAACTATCACTGAGCCTCTCACCAAAACAGCAACTAGAGGGTCACATGGAAAAGTGACAACAGTGCTCAAAGGCCAAGAAAAAAAATTTAGACACCTTGAAAGTGGAAATACAAAAACACTCCACTACAAGCTGGAAGATGCAGCCAATAAAGCCAGGTGCTCCAACTTTAGAATCCAGAACAGATATCAGGGATTAAGACTGGGTCTGCGGATCCAGAAAGACGGTCTCCGTTTATTTACCTACATTTGGATACACCAGGATAATCTCACACAGGCCCACTCTGAGACTTGAGCTCATGAGAAATGCACACTAGAGACTAGCTGCTGAATTAGGCGCCTTGGGTTATACCAGCCGAGAGACCAAAGCCTCGGCTCGATCTCCGCAAGTCTCCAGTTGAGACTACATTGAATGTTGCATTTGTGGTGTAAAGGTTTGTTTACATGCCTTTCCATTACTTTTGGGCCACGTGTGAAAAAGGTGACTATACATACAGGGTCACCGAACCTGTATCAGACTAATACGGTCACTTTTTGTTTCACAACATTTTTACATCAGAACAGCTTGCCTTCCAAGGCCCCACATTTTTATGATATCTTTGGTGAAATTACCTGCTTTTTTTGCATCAAGTGGCTAACTGCCCCTATGAAGTTTAACGTGTTATTTGTAGTGGGCATCCTAAACGGGTTGTAGATATGATTTCCCATGGTGAATCTAAGGTAACTTACAACATTAGATGGAGCACATGTGATCATGTATTTTCTCAAGAAACAACACGATGGCAAATGGACTTTGGTTCTTTTAAGCAATCCAATAAATTATTACTCTTATGGAATACTTAACTCTAAAACACACTCCCTAATAT